TTGCAACAAGCACCCGTCTTAAAAGGCAGTGGTAATCTGTCAACCAGAACAGTAAGAAACCGTTTAAAATCTGCGGGACTGAAGTCAAGGAGAGTCATAAAACGCCCGACACTTGACGATCGCCATCGAAGGGAGAGGTTGGTCTGGTGCAGAGCAAGGCAGAACTGGAACCTTCAAACCTGGCGACGAATACACTGGTCAGACGAGAGTAGATTTTTACTCCACGTAACTGATGGTCGAACCCGTGTTTGGAGGCATCGTAATGCAGCTTACACTCCAAGAAACATTGTTCCAACAGTGCCTTTTGGAAAAAAAGAACAAGGCCTAGCTAGCTACACATGAGTGCAGAATTTCATATGTGGAGTGTAGGTGTATGAGAATCTACTAATGTTTCCATTGTGGTGTGTTCATTTTCAGGGATAATAAACTCTATGCTATACAAATCAGGCAACAAAACCATAAAATTAGAATAATCAATGTGAAAAGGTAAACAGTTCAAATTATGAATAGCAAAACGTAACTTTCAATTATTTCGCAATTTCTAACATTTCATTTTATTGTACTCTGATGATTTGACTACAGTTAGTGTTGGGATAGATAAAATAATAGATACAATATAAAGTTTTTCTCAAAAAAAGTTTAATATCCATTAATTATGACCTATAGGTTATGCAAATAATGTATGAAAACTGTAAGCTGAAAAGTATTTTTATTTTTTAGCATGAAACTAATCTTACATTCAGTCAGTTTGAGTCAGACTGACACCATAAATTCAAGAACAAATGATTAGTAAAAATGCTTAATTAAAATATTATTTGTGTGTGTGTGTACAACATAATTGTTATATCTTATAAAAGATTGCCAAATGTTGTGATGATGCACTTAGTAAATTCAGAGTTACAATATGTATAGTTCTATGGTTACGTGGCAGTTACAAGGTTAGCTGATATGACCAAGTCCATATGTGTAGAGTTAAGTACAACTAATCATACAGCTTATTTGATATACTTGTTTCAGTAAATATTTAAAATTTCATTCAGCGAAAACATACTGGTCTCTGAAACAATTACTAATATGTAACATGATAAACTCAAGACCTTTTTTTACACTTTTCAGTCTAAGTCAATTTTTCATCTGTGTTTTAATTCTCAAGAATGAGTCTTTAACAATACTTACCAGAATCAGGGTCAACAGCAGCACCTCCTTTCACTTTCATCTTAACTTTTGCAGGCAAACTTTTTGTAAAGTACTTCTCTTCTAAAAAACCAGATTTGATCACCTTAGAACACAGACATGATGAATGTAAAACCTATTAACATAAGAAAGACTTAAAAAATTTTGATAATTATCATAGATTATATCATACTGAGGTTCACCCAATAACTAATTTTCCAAATAAATTTTTTGAGATCATACAAAAAAAAACTGAGATATTTATAAATATTCTTATATGCTCATATTATAAAAACATAGATATTTGGGTCATTTCCTTTAAAAAAAAAAAGTCTGCAATATTGTCTGCAAGTAGCACATATATCAAGAATGACTTATAATCTGGAATTTGAGTTTAAACTAATTATTCAGACTGAGTCAAGTCATCAGACATTAACATTAAATGTCATACTCTTCACAGAATCAGATATTCTGCCTTGAGTCTGTCAAGAGAAATATGATTTGTACAGACTCAAGCTATCAGCCTTAGGTCATATTGAACAAGATGTTACTCCCCACTATATATCATTTTCACATGGACATATATCCTGCCTTGGGTCTGTCAAAAAAAACCTGATCTGTACAGACTCAAGTCATCAGACTTACACCATGCTGAAGAGTACATTACTCACCACTAGACTTTGTACTTTTTACAGGATCAGCTATTCTGTCTTCAGGCTGTCAAGAACAAAATGATCTGTTTGATTTAGAAATACAAATATACATATAAAATACCACCATTAACTGCTATTACCTCTTTGTGAATAAGAATAGAACAAGCATGGTTCATACTGAATTACAAAGATCAATTCAAGCACCTTTTGGAAACCAAAATATACATCAAAATCAATCAGATTTTACTGAAGTTTTATAAAATTCCTATTTATTTATTCATTCAACATATAAATGTAGACTAAAAAGAAAAGAAAGACTTTATTTATTGTGCTCAATTCCACAACATGCAATAAAGTTAGATATATCAATATATTCTGATATTATAATATTTTCAAGTACTTTTGCAAAAAAATAAAGGAGAGTCTCTTTTCAAGCCCTTGAAATTAAGAATGGAATTTCAAGGATATGTACGTACCCTGAACAAGTTTTTTATTATTATTTACAAAGGCACTCCCATAACTTCCTTATTCTTATGAAAACATACTACTAACTACAAATGTGTTTTATGTTTCTTTATAAAGGAAATTGTTGCTTATGTTCCCTTTATGTAGAAATTTAAATTCAATTATCTGCAATGACGGAAGCAACTAAATTAACTCTAACACATTAGACCATACTATTCAAAAGATCTTAATCACTAATTGAAGTGATTTCCCTTGCTACAAGGAGTACTTCCATAACAGAATGCTTGAACAAAATCATTTAAGTAAACTTTTCAAGAACCATGCTGTACAAGTCACTCCTAAATCAGAATGTTCTTAACAAACACATTGATGTACAGTTTATTGGAACTTTCATAAAAGGTCAAGGATTCTCAAGGAGAAAAATTTCTGATGCAAAATTGATTCATGACAATAAACACAACATAAATTGACACAATGGAACAGATGCAACAGGTTTAGTAATGATGAAATAGTGACTAACTACAGTGTAAACAATGGAACAGATGCAGCAGGTTTAGTAATGATGAAATAGTGACTAACTACAGTGTAAACAATGGAACAGATGCAGCAGGTTTAGTAATGATGAAATAATGACTAACTACAGTGTAAACAATGGAACAGATGCAACAGGTTTAGTAATGATGAAATAGTGACTAACTACAGTGTAAACAATGGAACAGATGCAGCAGGTTTAGTAATGATGAAATAATGACTAACTACAGTGTAAACAATGGAACAGATGCAGCAGGTTTAGTAATGAGGAAATAATGACTAACTACAGTGTAAACAATGGAACAGATGCAGCAGGTTTAGTAATGATGAAATAGTGACTAACTACAGTGTAAACAATGGAACAGATGCAGCAGGTTTTACTAAAGATGAAATAGTGAATAACTACAATTTTGGAATTATATTTCATTGAGTTACTTTACAAAAACAAACTGATCATACATTCCCTCCCCATGATGCAATACTACACTGCTGGATCACCAACGTTCCACCTCCTTTCTGGACTGCATCCAAGAAGTCGATCGAAACAACATGAACATCAGCTTCTTTGGCTGTCTGGAGTTTCTTGTTGTTGTTCTTCACTTCATCTATAACAAGAAATGTTTTCTACTTAAATAACCTGAGATTTTTTATCAACTACAAAATAATGTTTAGTTCTCACATTTTTATGGATTTCATCTGCCTTGACTGGACAATGTTTCAATGTTAGAACTAATTTAAACATAAAAAGTAAAATGTTGTTTGTTCTTACATGCAAGAGAAATACAGTCCATAAAAATTTCACATACAATAAATACAAAATCAAAACCACAAAACATATACAAATTAAGACAAATTCACCCAAAAGTGTAGCACGTATAAAACCAGAATACCATTCAACAATTACGGAGAGCTGTGATAAAGCCTTATATATAAAGATTTTAACTAATTATCTAATAACTACCAAATATTTCTGTAAAATTCATTGTCATAGTATTCAATCTATAGGTAAATGAAACATAAATTCTAATAAAATGTTAAAGAATTAAAAAACTACAAACAGAAGTTCAAAGTATAAAATACAACAAACTTTGAGTTTCTTACACAAAAATGTAAGATAAAACATCAAGTTTTGCTTTCAAATAAAACTTGAACAAGTAGCTAAAGCTAAGTATGACATACCCTTACTACTGATAACACAGGCAACACTTTTGTCTATCTTTGTCACTAACTTCCCCCCCAATTTTTCAACTTTGGTTGTAATTTCATCTTTACTCAATGGTAACTTTCCTACAACAGCCAATTTCATTCCTTCTAATGGTCGACTGCTATCTCTGTGTACAAAGAAATAAAGGATCTTAAATATCTTCTCTGATACCATATATTATCTTAAAAATTAACTGCACAGCAAACTTTAAAGGTCTATAAAGTCATTCATCAAGCGAGACATTTTTCTTAAAATCATTTATAATATTGTGTATGTGTGAGAAGTTAACTCCAAAAAATATTTTTAATTAGTTTTCCTCTTTATAACCAGTGTTATAGAGGTTTTTAAAAAAGTTAACACAAACTAAAAAAACAAGATGTGATTAGCCAAATATCAAAGTACAGTTGTTGGTGCTTGGTCAATTACATTTTTATACCTGGCCTGTAACATTTCCTTTCATTTAAACCTTATATGATAATCTATGGAAAAAATTTAAGAAACTTTTATATTTAAACACAAAGAAACTTAACAACAGAATCCTGGGTATCAGAAACATATTTGACGAAAACAGATACAAAATTTAAGCCTTCAAGATACAAACCTGTTTCAGAAATGAATATTATTTTTTGGCCCAATATAAACATTACCTGAATTAATCAAGAAAAACAAAATGAGTATAAAATATTTATTGTTAAGTAAGTTTAACATTCTTCATGACTTAATAGTAATAAGTGATTAGAAAAGCCTTACACTTTGGATGTTGATGGTTTAGATGGTCCCTCCTTTTGGGTTGGAAATAAGCGATTTCTTTTCTCATATTTGTAGTTTTTGCTACAATACAAAGTAATAACAGGTTTGCTTCAAAATCTCTTCTATAAGTATCAACTGAAACAAACATTCAACATTTAAAAACTTTTCCATCACTGGATAAACCTTTTTTGTGTTGATCTGAAAAATTAATTTACACTGACTGCTCATGCAACATTATTTTTATGAGAAGTTGCTATATGGTATTAAACTATTCATCTGAAATTTTATTTTATTCGTCTGATTACATACGTTTTAACTATTAAAACACAATCACTATACATTACAAAGGAAAATAATATTTGCACAGAGAAAACTATCTGAAATCAGATTTCAAAAATAAAATTATTTTTCTATATCATTTTCTAAATTTATACCTCACCAACCCCATTTTCTAATTGTGTTTAAATAATATAAATATATAGCTCCTAAGATTTCTTCCTTTCAGTGAATATCAGTTAAAATACAGAACATTACAAACAATAAATTACCAGAAACATATAAACCATGCATTAAGTAAGTACCTTAACATCTCTTCCATTGTACTTACAGAAAATCAAAATCTTCAAGGTATTGCTTTGGTATTTTGAATGGCTTTCGATTTGGTGTTTTCGTGACAAAAGCACACTTTGTCCATCCAGTAACATTGCCCGTGCAGTGGTAACCATCCTCACTAAAACCACATATTTTGCTGGTTACTTCTATTAATTACATCTAAACCACTAAATAGCACTTAGATTCCTGTTAGTAGTAGTCCTGCAAGTATTTTGAATTTCAATGTGTAACAATACAGCATATCGACAACTAAAAGGTTACAACAATAGTTACTGGCTTAACATTAACTTTATCCTTTAGATCAATCACACAATTATGGAATTTGATGTTTAACAGATTTCAGTATGGTATCACCATGGTTTTCGTATTTTAAAAATTACCTTAGATCTTATCCTGAATCTACATAAAACTAATCTCAAGCTATAGATCATAAAAGTCCTTTACCAAAGTTGAACTATATATTGTCAAAGGTCCTATAAAGTGCCAGTGAACTAGAGCAGTATGTCACCAAGATCCCCTAAAGTGACCTTAAAACTGAGCTACAGATCATGAAGGTCCCCTACCATGACTTTGAACTTAGCTACAGATCTCATCAAGATCCCATAACATGACTTTGTACTTGGACTATAGGTCTCATCAAAGGTTCACCTAACATGACTTTATACTTGAGGTACAGATCACCAAGGTATTCTAAACACAGACATAAATGCTATGTTTCTCACAATTTAGAATTTCACTCTACTTACTGGAAGGTTAATTGACCACCTTCACACTCTTCACATGGCTCCAGAGCACCAAAAACCATACAGTCTGACAATGCACTCAGCAGCTGGAAAATCAACCAAAAACATTACACATTACTGAAGTAATAGTTAATATTTTGTAATAATGTCAAAACAACCATAATGACAACATTGGGGTATTACATAGGATTTGTGATCTTTCAAACCTAGACAAGCTAGCTTCCCTTCAAATTACATTTTGATAAACCAGTGAAGTACCCCTATTGCATTATCACGAGTTATGATAGTAGCTCATAATAAAAATCACAGGAATTTGCTCAAAACTAATATAAAAAAAAAAGACCCAAAGGCCACCCAAACACAGATAATGAGCATAAGTAATTTCAGACAAAAATCAAGATTTGTCCATTTGTTCATATTATTATTTCACAAGCCTACAGCAAAATTGGCTGGGTATTTTGTAGTAAAATCTAACCAGATATACTATATGAAGTGCTGCAAATGTCCGTGACCTATTTAAAAGTTGATTATTTTTCATTGAAAGTTGATTTAAATGATTATTAATACATAACAGATGTACTGTTTTAGCAATTAAGTCACAATCAGAAATCAAAGACTGCTGATTATGTACAGTAAAGTTGATGATGTTATTGTGGAGTATTGTTGACAGTTTAACCTTAAAAATTGTAGTGACTACAGAGAATGTACTTTGAAGCTTCATGAAATTTGAAATGGTAGAAGTTATAAATACACATGCAAAGAAAAAAACAATCAGGATGTATTTTCAATTTTTTATTTGAACAAGTAAAAAATATAAATGGGGACTGACCTTGTGGCTAGTACATACTCTGTACATAATGTTATGTGACAACAGTGAGAGACCAGCAAATTGTTGAGGTTCATTTCCTAAATTCATCATTCACTTCAGCCATAAGTTTGACGACTTTTGCTATCATTCTACACATTTTGAACTAAACCACTTTCTAAAAGAAACGAAGTATTCCAACCAAAGATCAACTAAAGTGACAGCATTTAAAAGTTTTCTTAAAGAGAGGAATCTTCAATGCAGTTGCCAAAAGATTTTTTAAATTGGCTTTATTAAGAAATTCTCCTGATTCTACCTGTATTAATTGCATATGTAATGTTCAACTTCCAAACTTTAAAAAAAAAGAAAAAGAAATGAGAACTTTAAATGCATTTTGATGAAGAAGACCCACATCATGTTGGTTGAATAATTCGAAATTTATCAGCTCCTGGCTCAACACAGATGCTTTAATTGAACGAGTTTCAAATCTCAGCACTTTTACTGTGTCACTTTTGACATTTGTCTAAAATCATGAAATATTAGCTTTTATTGTCATAAAAAGATGTATACATCCTCCTACTACTTACAGGTGCAAGGAGCAGTTGATTACTACAGTTGCCCACCTTAGTGGTTCTTGTTTTCAACCATTTGCTTCCTACTAAAAAAAAAACTCAAAATACCTAGTTTTTCTTATTCTGAAGCAATCCAACCAATCAGCAATTACGTTTGTTGAGCAACAACTAACTTTAAGATAACTTCTTGGAACTATTCATATTCATAAATAATATCAAATGACGAAATGTTTCATAGCTGACCAATAGGTTAATTATTTTGTAACTATTTGTACATACCCGTTTACCACTTTCAACTTATAATGACATCTCAGACAACTGACACCCCCCCCTACTGGAAAGTAGCGGGACATTCCAAATTTCCAATCATTCTATTGTTATGCGCTCTTGAGTGACCTCCCCAAACAATGAGCTAATATAAAGTGTGGTACTAATGGGGAGCCACATGGCGTATCATTCCAACAACTTCACAAGAAAAGTCCATGCAGTTCTGCAAGCACACAGTGTGTATTAGCTCTGCACATAGGGTGCTGTTATCGACCATTTGCTAATGCATTGTCTATAAAGAAATTGGCATGCTTTGCAATGTGTGGAGCATTGTTTTTTAACCTTTCTTTAGTTCAGTGTATCAACTTTTGTAAATAAACAAGAAACAGACAGAGATTGTTATAACTGATGATATTTTATTTTATGGTCAATAATGTTCCATGTTTCGTTTCGAAAGAAAAACGAAAAAGTTCAAGGTTGTGAGCATAAGCATACTTACAAATTAAAAGATTGTTGTGAATAAAGTGGTCTGCATGGTGTTAATTTTAATTTCTTGCCAATCAGTTTTCTGTGATTGGGAAATTCTGACAAATTCTACTGATTCCAACTGTTGCCCGATTATGCAATAACTGGTCCAACTCCGATTGCTGAACCAACTATCGGTAAAACAATAACAAGATGCAATGTTGTTCTCAGCAGCTGCTTTTGTACTCAACATGTTAACCCTATCGTTACAGGTTTTCCATCATGGTTGTAGATTTACATTCAAAATTTTATTGAACTACTATTTTATGAATGTATGCCAATAAGTTTAGTATCAAATTGGAGATAATAATCCAAATTTTAGTATTATACATTTGTTAATTTCTTAATTTAAAAGTAAATATATATATATATATAAATCCCTAAATATTGATTTTTGTGTGTCACGTGGTATGTTGAATGCCATTTTGGTTCCAACTAGATAGTTGTGATGTCCAAATACAAAGTCAATAGCTTCTTTCAAATTAGAAACTCAAATTACCAATATTGAAAAGCTAGAATATAAAATAAGAACCTCCTATCTTTTCTATTTGCTGAGATTTCACTAATTTAGCAAATCAAACACAATGGCCTCACCCACCTCTTCCTGCTTTGCTCTATTCCTGTGTTTATAACCAATCCAAAGCTCTGAATTTCCCCAATGTAGTTTTCTCAGCCTTTTGAAGGCAGGAATTTCCTAAGATTATTTCTTTTGTCTCCAATCTCGGAAAGGGTAAGTGAAAATGTTGTCAAAAAAAAATTTACACCCGAATACAGTTTAGTTAGTAAGACTGATAAATTAATGGAATTCTGTGATATTGGTAGAGTAATTTTATAATTTTTAGTTATTTCAAAATGCATATATAAAACCTGAAAAGTTGTTTTGTTTCACATTCTCCACATGCGAAAGTCTGCAAGGTTTAGCATGCAAAGTACAGTAAGTGATTACAAACTTCTTTACAATCCTAAGTAGTAGAAATCATTGTTTTCAATATTTCTTTTATTCTTTTATAAAAACTTTTAATAATTATCTGGAAATTATTAGGACATAGAGATTTTCTAATGCATAAAAGCATTTCTAATCTAAAAATCAAAATTATTTGCACAGTAAATAATCAACATTCGAAAAGAAAAACTCACAAGCAAATAATTACTTAAAAAATCATAAAACTTAAGAAAAAAATCTGCTACTTTGTGTATGAAACCCTTGTAATGTTTATTTATAATTGCACAGTTTTGTGAAGACATGCATACTGTATGAAAACTATAACAAGCACAAAACGGTTACAAGGTCGGTCCATAGAACCAAGCCAATAGTAAGAGTTAAACATGTGTTTACACAAAAACTCTAGCACAAAGCCATATGGCTCACTAAATAATTACTTTAAGTAATGTTTCAGACGTATTGTTTTATTTCAAATGGCTAATTTTGTCCTGGTAAGATTTTATACACACTTAGTGTGCAATGTGTCTTACTATATTTGCCCATTGCTGTGCATTAAAAAAGCCTACATACAAGATGATTAAAAATTGAGAATTTAAAATCTACAAATGTAGATCACAAAAAAGTAAACAAACAAGGTTGGAGATCTACTGCTGACAGTTTGCTCATGCTACAAATTCCTCTTATGACTTCAGTATAAAATCATTGCACATAATATCTATTGTAGTGTAGGATCGCACAGGAATTTTGCCAAAGACTGAGAGAGTACTCTTAAACTTAACTTGATCTCCTTAATTTTGACATCCTGTGAAATCTTCCAAGTCCCCTATTTTCTTCCATAAAAACATTTGTGTTTTCCTAGAGAGAAACTACAACTTGTGCATTTTCTATCACGTTAAATGGAAACTACCACGTGAAAGGTTCTCAATTCTGCTCTTGCATATCATTACTCAAGTTTGCTCTATGTGGATTTCCACAACTTTATTTCAGCAAGTTTTCAACAGTGGACAATTACAATAGTAGATTTTCCTACTCAGACGATGGTGGTGATTCTTTCTACTGTTTGTTATACTTAGCTGAAATTGTGAGTGCACATTTAGTATTTATTACAAGTGCATATATCTATTGCTATTTTTAAATAGTTGGTGTTAAGGTAGCAATTGTAAATATTGTTGATAATTATCTACTTACTCTAAGCGTGTTGCTGTTGTCTAATGTTGCATGCATTACTTGTGTTACCTTATTCTAGCAAATACTTGTGAAGAACATACGTATGTGGCATGTAGACCTAACAAGGTAAGCATGTTACTGCATCTGTTCACATTGCATTAATTTGTGTCGTATTATCAAAGAAGAAACATTATTCCATTCTGATGAGAATGCTTTGTTGCTGCTCATCTTTTGTTACATTACACTGTGACATTGGTGGAAGCTGGTCATTAAATCTGTGATGATACAATCTTTGCCTTTAAGACAGTCCTTTGGGGACAACTTTATATTTTGTTTGTTGTATTTGCATACCAGTATATGTGTTTATTATTTGTGTGTTTGTACATTTGTTATTTATTTTGAATAAGTTCAGTGTGGTGGTTGGGTGAAAAAAACAGCCAATGCAGCAGTAAAGTGTTGAAAAACATGTAACATTCAACTGAATGCATATGCATGTATGTAGCTTAATTTATTCCCCTTAAATGGACATAAAAACTTAAGATACAAGATTAGTAAAAATTATCAATTTAAAAAAGGGGAATTGGGACCATCAAAAAAAGTACAGAAACAAAGATTATATTTTAAAGCTTATAACTAGGAAGTCAAAATAGGAATTTGTAGCTTGAGAAAATAATGTAGACACTAATTCCAGCTTTAATTTAATTTAACTTGTTTCTGTACTTTTTTGACAATCCCCATTCCCCCCTTTTAAACTAAAATTTTGTATTAATTTTGTATTAAGTAATTTTTGCTCATTAAAACACTCAGTGTAAAGTACTGACCAAAAAAAAAAATGGGAAGAAATCACTTATTTTATACATAAAATAAATAGGTGATCACAGTAGTGAATAGTGGAGTTAAATGCAGTACTTACACTATTTTCATTTATTTTGTGTGTGTTTGAGTGACTCGTATGGTAATAGTGAAACCACAAGTCACAAATTCACAACATTCTGGTAATTATACAGTTTAGAAAAACCAACGGAGTCGGTAATCCTAGGCTTAAGTTCAAATATTCTAATTAGTAACCCTAGGGCTAACTTCAAATATTCTCATCAGTAATCCTAGGCTTAAGTTCAAGTATTATTATCAGCAATCCTAGGCCTAAGTTCTTATCTTTACCTTGCTTGTTCCAGAAGGAACCTTCTGCTGATTGTACTCAAGCAATTCCTGCAGCTGTTTCTTACTGAGGTGCATTTTTAACATGTCATGGTATTTGTACAGCTGTTCATTTTGAACCTAAGAAAGAGAAAGTAGTGTTACTAATATTCATAAAAATGAATACATTTTGATTCAAAATAATTCATAAGGTGTCAGCAAAGTAATATTACAGTGCCAATACTAATAAAGTTAACATTTTCCTTATCTAAAAATGTACTTCTGATAGATACTCACCTCTCTACACAAAGAACTACCTTCTCCATGAATCTGCCTTAGACATATCACTAGCCTTTAGGCAACTCCCACCTAAACTCACAAAATATCTTGTGATTTGCACTACTGCATAATAATGTTACCATGCACTAAAAGCCCTCCATCAATAGGAGGACAACACAACCTCCCTGCATATTAGCTCCCACTATGCTTTTGCACTCATGATCTTTATTCTTTGATGAGACAAGGAATACTAAGTTGCACCAGAAGTGGGGAGAAAGGTTGGGAAGTGAGTAGAGTTATCTATCCGAAATACATTTTCAGGTAAAGAAAATGTTAACTTCTGAGAAAATTCACACTTCCTCACACAGAAAGTTAAAATCCCAAGTTGATATGTTGGAGGGGCCGGTGCAAAACTTACAAATGTGAGCTTCCTTCAGAAAGCATCAGAAGGAAACCCATGGAGTGTGACTCCCAATGGCAGGGATTCCACAAGAATCCCAGGAAAGAAAAAGGTGGAAATGAGAGCCATGAAATTGAGAGGTATAGGCTAGGTAGCAACGAATGGCATGAACAGGACACAAAAGTCTGTCGAAATTGGACTGATCATACACGTGTGAAAAAGAAGGAAGAGAGATAAGAGAGAAGCAGCTGTCACCTTCCCGAGCTACTGAAGATGGACAAGGTAGAAGGACAACAAGAATGAGAAAGAAAAATAGGCTACCCTCTAGGAAAATTTGGCCTTACTGGCAACAGACCAGACAAAAGTGGAGTTACTGGATCCCTTGATGGAACAGTGATGTGTGAGGTTGAAGCAGAAAAGTGGGCATTGAAGGTAGAAGAAGAGGGAACAAGGGTTGAGCCAGCCAAAGAGGCACCACCAAGAGGACACAATAAGAAGCATAATGAATCAATGCCAGGACCCATGGTAAACGACGGAGAGGTGGGTAAGTACAGTCAGGGCTGAATGATGGGGAAAAGAAGACCAAAAGAGAGGAAGCTTGGAAATGACAGGTGTGGCAAAGGAATCGATAAGTGTAGGCCCCAGTAGAGAGCACCTCCATCTGAAAACACGATGGAAAAAACATTCCACAGGCAATTAGGCCCATAGTGCCTGACATATGACAGGCAATGAAGCAAACCCATTGAGAAGTGGCCCAATAAAGGTGGTCGATGGATTGAAAACAAAGGGTACTGAATCTGATACACCCTCCATAATAGTTGGTGCAGGAGACCACAATGGAGCTGTCAGAGTGAATCACAACTAATTGATACACTAGAAGAGGTAGGAAATGAGAATATGCCCAACAAACTGCCAAAAGTTTGAGCATGTTGGTAGTTGATATGGAGAGAGGAAAATGTCCTGGATCCAAGTGCCCAATGTAAGAATGTCATTCAAAGATGCTCTCCATTCTGATAGGGAAGCATCTGTGAAGAGATGCAAGTCAGGTTTTGGTGGAGGTAGAGGCACACTGATAGCAGTATTGGAACAGTCCGGACACCAATAAAGATCTTCGAGAAGAGGAGGAGACAGAAAAACCATTATGTTCAAAGGTTCCCATGAGTGGTTCCACTGGTTATGCAAGGACCATTGGAGGAAGTACATATCAGCACAACCCAGGGGAGTAAGTTGTTATAGTGAAACCATGGTCTCCAACAGTGATAGAACCTTTTGTACAGTATGAGTAGGAAAGGCTCACATGCTGGTGACAGAAAGCTCTAGAGCTTGGCTGTCCATCAAAAAAGGAGCTAGGCTTATCAGAGGGTCTTGATAAGGTGTGGCAAGAAAAACTTTTAGTTTAAGCTGGAACGTGTTTTACATTACTGGTTCAAACTTAAATTTCTAAAAATTTTTACTATAACATACCTTTAACTTCTTTTCTTCTTTAGATGTAGTTTTCTGCTTTTTCACTGGACCATCTACTGTATCACCTTTTCGTTTCCTTAATAAAAACATTTCTGTTTATTATCTGTATCATTATCATTGTTACCCAACTTTGTTATACTTTTTTTAAGCAAACAAAAAATTACTCAATAATAAACTGCAATATTAGTGGTCTTGAAATAAAGTTAGTTATAATCACTCATTTTGCAATAGTGCATGTCCAAATGCTTATTCCAGGTTCATGTTTCTAGAAATTGTAACTTAAAGTAAGTGAAACCCATGAGCCTTTCAGTGACCATATCAAATCACTTACCCATTTACTTTTTTCAGTTTTTCTTTAAGGGATTTCTGGTCCTCAACACCTAATGTTCTAAAACCAGGAATCCTAGATACAAAAAACATCAAGACTTTAAACTTCAAACATTCAACAAAACTTTATTCATTGTTGTCAGCTCTTTTTTTTTGTTATGATGCAATGATCATTTACTGATATTTCTAATAACACAGTGTTAGCTTTTTCTTCTTACACTGGATTTACTTAATAATTTTCAAAGACAGCTTTACCACACTTAGAACCACACAAAATAACAATTTGAGAAAATAACTTAAGAGTCTTTGTGAGATCAACTATGTATCTTCAGTTGTCCTTAACCCTATCACGACAGGTCACGTATCCAAGGCCAAGTTACTGCGTTTGTTGACTTGCATTCAAAATTTTAGTCAAGTACTATTTTATGAATTTATGTCAATAAGTTTGGTATCAAATTGTAGTTTATAATTCAAATTTTAGTATTATACGTTAGTTAATTTCTATATTAAAAGTATATATTAAAAACACAGCTAAACATCAACTTTTGTGTGTCACTTGGTATGTCGAATGCAGCACTGGTTCAAATTAAATGTTTGTGATGTCAAAATACAAAATCTACAGTTTTGTATGAATTAGGAACTAAAATTACTGATATTGACCAGGTAGAATATAAAACAAGAACCTCTTATTTTTTCTATTTGCTAAGATATCGCTCATGTACTGAATCAAACACAGTGGGCCCCCACCCACCTCTTTCCATTTTTGGAAATGCTCCCTTATATACACTTACTGCTATATATGACATGAATAAAAAATCAAAAGCTCAGAATGTCCACCTAGTGGTTTTCTCAGCTATTTTGACTTGTTATTGTGTTAACTTTCATACTAGGCTTCAAACGATAAGGTAGGCAAGTTATTAGTAAGCTCGATTTTCCATATTTTTTTAGACACAAATACAACTTAGTTACTACACTTGGTAAGTTATAGTGGAATTCTATGGCACTGATATAGTAATTTATGATTTTTTGGTTATTTAAAATGTATATATATAAGGCCTAAAAAAATATTTCGTTTCGCATCCTCCAGGTGTGAAATTTCATAAGGCTTAGCAACCTACAACAAGTAGCAACCGAGTACAAAGGTCGTAACAATAAGAAAATTTTTTGCTCTACTTCTTTATTTACTGTTCTATGTTTAAGAAAAATAAGTTTAAGAACTTATTTGTAAATAGTAATAACGTTTATACATATATAATATAATAATTCAAATGTGACTGTATTTTACAAAATACTAGTCCACTAAAATACAGCCAAGACAGGTCACTTTGTAAAGACTAAATGTCAGTTATATATTATTGGATATGATAACATGAGTGTATGTGTGTCACATCATTGTAACTTCTGTATTGTTAGCCAGGCATGTGTGTCATGTCAATAATAAATATATATAAATGTATAATGTTACGAGATTTAATCTATTTAGACTAAACATTTGTGTGTTATAATTTGTAGTCATTCTAGAATGAAAAAAGCATAATTTATATTTATTTCCTTTTTTTTTTTAACATTGTTGTGAGATTGGTCAAATTGTCCAATTATATTTTTTCCTAATTTTTTTTATTGATGTTACAAAGTCAGTCACATCAAATCAACCCATACAGAAATACACTAGTAAAAATAACAAATAAAATAGTTTTTGTAAAAAAAGATTTGATAATCATCTGTAGATTATAAATAATTCACATGTGAAATCTGAAAATGTTCTAATGCATTAAATTACTTTTAATCTTAAAATCAAAATTGCTTTGCAATTGGATAATCAACATTGTGAAAGAAAAAGGTTTAGAAATTCTTTGATTAAAAAGTCTTAATACTTAATTTTAAAACCTGATATTTTGTGTACGAAAACCTTGTAATGTTTACCAATAATTGCAAAATTTTGTAAAGATGTGCATACATCATCAAAAATTGTAGTATAATTACTCTCACGGATACTTTCATGGTTATGAGCTTGGTGGATTGCACCCAGCCTGTAATGGAAGTATTAAAGACCAACCTGTAACAAATATACTGTTGTTGTTTGTTTGATGAATCTCCTGCAAAGCAACTCGAAGGCTATCTGTGCTAGCCATTTCTAATTTTAAAGTGACAGACTACAAGTAAAGCAACTAGTAAACATCGTCCACTGTCAACTCTAAAAAACTTTAGTCCAATAGTGGGATTTGACAGCCACTCTTATAATGAGCTCATGGCTCTAAAGATCACAACATGATTTTGTTGTTGTTGGTAATTAAATGCAAACCATGGAACCTCAGATCCACAGTCCACCATGCTAATCACTGGGTTGTACAATGTAAGTACCTAATCTTATCCTTTTGTTTAACCAAAACCAACTAATTGCTGGAAAACAAATTCTGGATATATGGTTTTAAAATGTTTTCTAACCTACATTTTAAGACATCACATTCAGATTCACAAAATGATGTCTTAAAATTAATAGCAAGTTAACATAGTTATATAGTCTTGTAGAAGTTCTTACTTCTCAGCTGATTCATAGAACTCCAGCTTTTCTCGGTTTTCTACAAAACAGTCCACGTGATACCACATAGGCTGAGGACCATACATTTTGGATCTCTGGCTTTCATAGTCTTTCTTTGACACCCTAACTTCACCCTGGATTAAAACAGTAACATAAAAATGACCACAATACAATTTCTAAGCATTAAAATGTTGAATAAACAAAGCTCTACATCTTACCTTCTTTATGATAATTTGTAATCATAAACACCATTTAAACATTTTATAACCACCTTCTAATTATATTTAAAAGTATGTGAACTATTTTCATAAATAGCACAAAGTAATTTAGAAATAGCTACAACTTTAAATTCATATTACTAAAATATGATAGTGGCTTATGTTATAAGCTTGTTGCATTATTTGAGTAAAAAGTTGTGTAATTACTTCTGACTTGTTTAGCAGGTTTTATCATTAATGATTTAACATGTTACTGGATATTTTTAGAAGATTACATACATTTTGTGAGAAGGATCTCCAAATTCTAATACAGTGGTCTAAGATGCAAGCCTTGCTGCATCAGCCAATATGTTTAGCAGGGATTATCAGTAACTAAATAATGTTGAATTAGTTATTTCTACAGAGGATTACTAATGTTTTGTGAGAAGGATCTAAATATGCTAATATAGTAACCTAAGATGCAAATCTGGTTGCCACAACCAATATGTTAGCACCTATATATTTGGTTCATGGTGATTTCCAGATTGTGTTTGTGGTTAAGCACAATACTGCAAATGGGTTACCTGTGCTCTGTCCACCACAGGTATTTCCAGACAATTCAATAGCTCTATGCAATGGATTGACTTATAGCTGGAGTCACTGACTTTCCAAGGAAAAATATTTTTATGGCAATAAGGTTAAATTATGTAGGCAAAAGGACATAACATAGAGAACTGAAAAACACAGATAACAGTATGTCTCATAAATATGTAATTTATTACTACCATGTCTTTGCCCATAAAGGCATTGTTACCTTTATGTGCAAAACCACGGCTGTGAAATATACAATTTCCTTCTCAATTCTGTAATAATAATTTCACCAATGATTTCAAATATTAATTACGTAGAACATAGTATCTTAAAGAAGGAAGCCTTCAATCTTTACCAAAGAAATGGGAAACATTGTGTAGCAAACATTTAGAACATAAACAAGCATCAAAATGACACCCGAAACCAATCCAAAACAACACCTTCATTTACAAAAATTAAGGCTGTGTTATGAAAACAAACCATTCAACCCAAAATATCACTGCAAAGAAACAAGGAATATCTCTTGGTACCACTGACAAGATAATAAACAAGGATTTAAAGCTGAGAAGTCCATAAGTTTCTAGTCATATCAACAAATCAACAGCTGTTAAAAGATAGTCAAAAAACTTGATTCAAAAGAATCCCATTTGACCAAATTCCTGTTAAGTTCTGTGATGCAGTTCCAATGGACTTTGTTTGGTCTACTTAAGCTCAGTAATGAAAGCTGGCATCTATGTACAATGGAAGGTCTGTTGAAAGTTAAGATGTGTAGTCTAATTTTGATCTCCCCATCCTTTGCCAAAGCTTGATACAACAAAATTATGGTTTCAGGTAATAATCATAACCACTAGAATGAGCAGGATTAATGAATAAGGGCTACAAGGAACATATATAAAGTTCAATTATTTCTCATTATTAACAGAGATCATACTTGAAGAATTATTTTCTTTAATAAAAGCAATTCCAATCTTTAGACAAAATTATATTTTTAAAATATTAATACAAATGCTGCAAAAAGGAAAAAGAAAATTATATTTTAATTCTTTAACTCTCACCAAGACAAATACTACTGTGTCAATCTTAGACTCACACCCACAACAAGTTCTACCTTTTTACTCTTGGACTCACATCCAAGACAAATACTACTGTGTCAATCTTAGACTCACACCCACAACAAGTTCTACCTTTTTACTCTTGGACTCACATCCATGACAAATACTACTGTGTCAATCTTAGACTCACACCCACAACAAGTTCTACCTTTTTAATCTTGGACTCACATCCATGACAAATACTACTGTGTCAATCTTAGACTCACACCCACAACAAGTTCTACCTTTTTAATCTTGGACTCACACCCATGACAAGAACTACCTTTTCTATCTTGGACTCTCACCAACAAGTACTACCTTTTCAATCTTTGATTCACATCCACGACAAGTACTTCGATTGGACTTGGCATATTCTGTTGAGAAATCTTTCATATGATCTACAGCTGGTGCACTTCCACTGTCACTTGCTTCTGGACTGGCTGTTGAACATGCAAAACATTTTCAATGACAAATCTAAACATTCATAAAACCTAATCTGGGCCTACTGCAAGCTAAAAATTTAAAAATATGATACTAAAACAAGTAGTGTCCCATGTACTGATACTCACCAACTTATACCATTTTCCAGCTATAACACCACACAATGGCTAAAGGACCTTAATATCCCTGTATTCCATCACACATTACTCACTCTGAACATAATTTTTAATTTATACAAGTTTGATTACTGTCATGCTCATAATGATAGATGTACACAATAAAAAAGGAGTTATCTGAATCAAAAACACTATTAGGTTATGTTAACAGCTGTGGATTATAACTGTTTGATAATGATTCATCACATCATCAAAATCCTTCCTTAAACGTGCTTAAAGTAATTCCTCTCAATAATAATACTTTCAAACCATTGCTTACCTAAATAATATGATAGTTTTAGTGTTTTTAATTGGTGCTAATGAACAGGATTAAGGTACTCCATCAAATTCTCATACAATTGCAGCCTCTGTGTGATAAAAAATACACTGCTTTAATGGTAACATTATTAACTATACACTTAAACAGAGATCTTGTTAGGGCCACGCCACATGCATGTTGGAAATCTAAACAGCATACACAAAACATTATCAATGGGCCTGCAGATGCATATGTTTTATATTTTTTGCATGCATGATTTTCCAGAGTGAGCAACATGAAGATCTTACCCATGTCCAAGATTACAAGTTTTTACTATTTACAGTTTGATCATGAAATGGGCATGTTCACAACTTCCATGAGCTCTCTGCTATTTTGCCATCCTCATGAAAATTCTGAAAGCATTTTTATTAAGATTTTAAATCAGATAATTGTTTGCCTAGGATTCTGAAAATCTCTCTCATTGACCTTCAAAATTAATTTATTTCAATATGGCAACAAACTAAACTTCATACATTCTTCAAAGAAAAAAGATACGACAGAACTGCCAATCACCACAGGCTGATGATGATGCACCATTAAAAATGGATCTAGTGAACTAAACTACAGTCAATAGACATAGGCCTAACAAAGGCACTGAAGGCATGTTACATCCTCACATCATGTGTCTGTGCTTCTTGCAAAAGTTTAAAACAAAAACTTTACAAAATCTGTTAATAAAGCACTTTCTAAAGAAGAATATGGTGTGATTGTTGATTTAAAAGTTGTATACTGGTTGACTGATGAGTCAATACTACTATCGAAGTTTGAAAGTATTGTGAAATTTCTAAAACATCTAAAAAACCCCGATCTAGAACACTTAACATACAGATCAAAGCAGAAATCAGACCAATTTGGATCACCTAGCTACAGAATTACTTGAGGCAATCTCCATTGACATTGATAATACTGTGAATGAAAAGTTGGTGGCATCACCTTGTATCACTCTTCTAACAGATGAGACTACTGATAGTTGCAAGAACAAAAAGATGACAATCCTTGCAAGAATCATTAATCCAGAAAACATGTTGCATTCCAATACATTTCTGGCAAACCTCTAAGTGAAAGATGGAACAGAACAACATTTATCAGGAAACATCTTGTCGCATCTTGAGTCGAGAGACGTTTCAAAGATGCTTGGCTCGGGGACAAATGGTACCAGTTCGATGACAAACCATGATAAAGGACTCACAGGACAACTTCTTCAGCAAAAAAACCACATGTAGTCAATGTTCACTGCAATGCACATCGACCAGCCTTGTGTACATCCAAACCATACTGAATGACCCACAGTTGAAAATAAAAGAAATACAAGTATGGTGGTTCAGTTTTATTCGGCAAAAATCACAATTTACTGATGTCTGGACTTTCTGTGGACATACTTTGATGACACTGACTCAAAAAAAGATCCCAAAGTTGTGGGAACCCACAAAAAGATAGCTTCCAAACAGTTCCTATATATAACCTACATGATTATGGATGTTATGCTGGTGGTTACAGCTCTCAGCATCACCTTCCAGAAACATATATGGATATTGCACTTGTTCAAGTAATTACGACATGATGATAGCCGAACGAATAGATGACACAGGATTTGATGAATAGGCTCAAAGGTCACAAGATACCTAACACATCTGAAGAAATTCTAAGTCAATCAAAAAGAAGTTCATACTGTCTCTGATAGACAACATCCAGAAAAGGTATGCATGATCTATTTTATCAAACCAACTATTTTTTCCTCAAAATGCATCCATTTCATGATTTGTACTTCAAAACTAATTCAATTTCTGTAAATTTTTTTTTTTCAGATTTCCAGACAAGGACTTGTTGACACGCTTTGAGATATTTGACCTTCTTCCAATGCTCTGTTGTTTGACAATGAACTTGAAGCTTAGGGAAATGACAAGTTAGAGACTCTGTTAACACACTACAGAACATCTAAATCTCAAGTTAAAAGTCAGAGGATGGTAATCATCTTGAAGTAACACCTGAAACGTTAATTGAGCCAGAAGAAGCCAGGAAAGAATGAAGAAATATTAAAGCTGTTGTCAAAGCAGAAACTTTCCCCCTGGAACAAAATGGAAACTCTATGGCAACTAATTGTTCAACATCATGCATTTAATATCCCCAACTTGAAATTCCTTGCATGTCTTTTCCTAACAGCCCCTGTCCACACAGCAGACTGAGAGAACTTTCAGTGTTCATAACAGACTTGTCACTGCTCTTAGGAACAGGCTCTCACCTGCTCATGGTGACTAATTCAGGGTTCATACACTTTCTTACATATGAAATTCAAGCCAGAATTCCATGACTTTTGAACAAAGTTTTACATGGTAGACAAAAAAATTTTATCCCAACGCAAAGTGTATATACTGCACCGTCTCTTCTTTTGAACCCCCCCACCACCACCATTAACAACAACGAAATATTTACATTATGCATTATTTGTGGCATTTAGCTGATCAGTTTATTCTGAATGAGTTCTTCTTGAGACATCTTTGCTGTACGTCAGTAGCTGTTTGAAGTTGATTCAGCTTCCTCTGCAAACTTGTCTGCAGTGCAGTCTTAATTTACGAATTCTTGATGGCATTGAGCTGTTCATCAATTTGCTTCCATATGATTTCTACTTTAGACATCTCCTCAACTGTACATACAGAGCTGTTAACACCCCTGTTAACATAGGAAACTGTTTGATTTTGATATACATGTCAAACTGTCAGTTGATTTAGCTTCCTCTGCAAACATGTCCACTGTGTATTACTTTACAAATTCTTGATGACATTCAGCTGTTCATCAATTTGTTTCTGAATCACTTCTAACTGGGACATCTTTTCCTTTGCTGTACATCGGAGGCTGTTTGATTTGGATATACAAGTTAATCTGTCAGTTGACTCTGCTTCCTCTGCAAACTTGTCCACTGTGTATTACTTTACAAATTCTTGATGACATTCAGCTGTTCATCAATTTGTTTCTGAATCACTTCTAACT